CATTCATTCATTCATTCTTCCCTTGCCTTCACCCACTTGTTCATTCAGTCTTCCATTCATTCAGGTGTTAATGCAGTCGCTTATACATTTGTCATGCAGTTACTCACAACCTCCTGCACTCCACCATTTGTTCATGCGTTCATTCAGAAACTAGTCCCCAAGTTGCTACCGTGTGCCGGGCAGTGAAATCAGCCCTGGGAGATACAGAAACATGTCAAAACTGGCTCTAGACAGGGCAATGCTCTATAAGAAAAACAGAGAAATAAGTGAATCAAGATAGAAGCCAGTGTGGATGGATGGGCAGACACTGAGTGGCCTCTGCTCCTTGTTTCTAGGCAACCTTTAAAGGCTGGATGGACATCATGTATGCAGCTGTGGATTCCCGGGAGGTGAGTCTCAGCCTACGGTGCCTGCTGCCTCCCCCTCTGTGTGTCCCGCCCACATTCGTCTTTTTGAAATAGAGTGAAAGTGGCCTTGGTGCTGGCAGAGGCAGTCACCCAGCCACCTGGCACTATCCCTCCCTGGAAGAGTTTTCCAGCTGGACCTCTGTTGGAGACCAGTTCAAGCTGGTCTTCTAGGCTTATCAAGTTCTTCCTCTGCTCACCGTTGAGGAAATGATCAGATAACGCCTGAAGGACTGTGTGTGAGGGTGCTCCCCAGGCAGAGGTAGGAGCAAGGGCAGTGGCTAGAACAATGGAATTTCAGGGACTAGCCTGGCAGCCAGGTGGGGAGATGGGCGCTGCTGGGGAAGGACCCTTTCCCACTACACAGACACTGCTGATGCCCTGCCCCACCCCCGCTCAGCCCACCTCTGAGTTCACTCGCAGGCTGTGTTTCTGATTCTGTCTGCGATTTGACTTTCTTCAGTGCCTCAGAGCTTGTTCAGGTGGAGGACTGCAAGCCTGCAGGGGCAACCCTCCCAGATAAGCTTTGGCAATCTTTAGATTGGAGGTACAATTCTCATGTGTGTTCTACAGTCCTGAGAGGGCATAGTGCCAGTTGCCCAGGTTGATGGTCTGCTTGACCACCCCCTTTACTGGCTTCATCCTCTTCCTGCCTCCCCTCCCCCTCCTTCATCCTTGTTTCCTGGCATCACCTCCCAAATAAGCCACCTACAGCCAGGTCCTTGTCTCAGGGTTCCCTGGGGGTGAACACAAACTAAGATGCCTCCTCCTACTGTGCTCACAGGTCAGCATGCAGCCCAAGTGGGAGGACAACGTGTACATGTACTTCTACTTCGTCATCTTCATCATTTTCGGTGGCTTCTTCACACTCAATCTCTTCGTTGGGGTCATAATTGACAACTTCAACCAACAGAAAAAAAAGATAAGTGGGGCTCAGGTCTTTCTGCAGTAGTGGCAAGTCTTCTACTTCCAGACTCCTGGCCTCATGACTGAAGCCAACATTATTCGCAGCCCTCATGCCTAACTGGGATCCCAGTCTTGGCCTTGAGCACCAACACTGACCTTTGCCCCCTGATTGCAGCCTTCACCCCTGTCTGGGGACCCCAAAGGGGTTGGCTGCAATTGAGGGCAATAACAGCAGTGTGTGTTATTCTGTCTCTGCACTTAGGGGGCCAGGACATCTTCATGACAGAGGAGCAGAAGAAGTACTACAATGCCATGAAGAAGCTGGGCTCCAAGAAGCCCCAGAAGCCCATCCCACGGCCTCTGGTGAGTCCTAGAGCTCCCTTCTAGCAGAGTGAGTCTGGAAATCTAAGGCTAGGAGGTCTGGCCAGTGCTCTCTGTGGAGGAGGAGACCTGGGGTGAGTTTGGGGAGGAGATAATGAACGTTCCCAGGCCCAAGGGATGAAAAGCCTGGAAGAAGACACTCTGGCCTTCTGGAGTGAACGTATCTCCTACAGGGACTCCAGATAGACTGCTTGGAGAGGTGCTGAGCTGCCTAACAGGCTGAGGATTCCAGCACAGGTTTTGGAGCAGATTAGGCTAAATGACAGTAAGGAGCCCTGAGATGAAATGTGTGTGGTTACGCATCATCACCTAGGTTGCAAGGGATCACCAGCCTCACGCCACACGCCACCCCTTGCCTACAGGTAGACAGAAAGGAAATGGCCAGACCCAATCCCCCTGGGATCCTGGGCCCAGTCCTGGTCATGGTCAGGTGACACAAAAGGAACCAAAAATTATCCCACTCTAGTGTTTAAAGACTGACCAGAACTTAGATACATACTTCCCTTTGGTTCCTTCATTCACAGAGATCCATGGCACGATCCCATGAACCCTTCCCTACACAAGGGCAAAGCCTAAGGGCCTTCAACAAAGGTACAGGCCTTTCCCTACATGAATTAAGGAGACATACATTCTGTTGGCTAAGGCATTAGGATTTCTAAATCATGGCATGGGGTTTGCATCAGTTACAAAAAACTTCATGAACATGAGGTTCTGAAAACATTTGACAGGAGGGAAAAAAAATGCTTTCTATGACCTTTTACACATTTTACTTGGAAACAGTAGTCACAGATGTATTACTATTCTCAATTCTGATAATAAGTGTTACAATGGGGAGTGATAGGGTGTTCAGACCTCTGTAGGGGCAGAGGTCTCCTTCCAAATCCCCTATAAGATCTAGATAACTGGGGTTGAGTGAGCTGGAGGGAAAGTCCTTAAGGCTCAGGGAGTATCCCTCCAAGGTTCAATGGGAAAGAACAAGCTTAAAATTAAGAGATGTAAGTGAAAGGCTGAGCCCAGCCAATCAGAGCCAAGTAGGGGTTACAGGAGGAGGGTCCTAAGACCCACTGAGAAGCAAACAGCTGAGTCCCTGCTGGTCTTTACTAGGAGCTGGACTGATGTTGAACCCACATTTGGACCAGACACCGGGGAGCCCTATGCGGGGGCAACACTTTCCCTACATACTTGCTCGATCTCTCTATACCATGTCAGCTTCTCCCCTCTCATCAGCCAATCCCACCGACCACCATAGCTTCCTCTTCACAGGAGGACGATTTCCTTTGGACAGGGTGAGCTACATTTCAAAAAGGGACCCTGGAGAGAACACTATGTTAATTACAAAGGTAGGAACCTAATGTTGCAATTCTAGGCACTGCAGTAGGAGTAGAAGTCAGTGGTTGGGCAGGAAGACCTACAACAAGGTCATCGTGTCTCCTAATTAAGCCATAACCAGGCTCCTCCAAGGCTGGCACTGGAGGAGGTCTTCCGCATGGATAAGGGAAGTGAGACCTCATAGCCCAGCTGTGTTCCTGAGATTATCCATTCTTTTGGATGGGAGTTGGGGTGGTATATTACTAATTAGCTATCAACTCTATACCGGCTTTACTGTAGGAACATGGCTCTCTCCTTAATATTCTGGTCCAAGCAGGGCAAACATTCTTTCCTTTGTTCCCCTTAGCATAACTGAGGCAAGCCTGAAACATTTAAATGAGACTTTGAGGCTTCGGGATGCCAAAAGGGAAGCTAGCAGAGCAGGGCCCAAGCAACAGTTGTACATGGCTGCTCTCCAGGGCACACAGCCTTTGTCCATCCTGACTCCTGGATGGCATCCATATGGCAGGCAGCATCTTGGCACCCACCACCCCATGAGACAAGCCTGATCATCTGTCTTCCACAAAGTCCAGAGCCAAGAAAGAAACCCAAGCAAAAAGATGAATTCCCACCTAAAACACACCTTCCCAGGTCCAGCTTCCATTTCACCAGGTTATTGGCACAGGAATACCCACCTTCTTCCCTGAGGGGTCCCAATGGGTCGAGCTGCTCAGGTAAGCTGAGCACAGGCTGTAGGACTGTATTCCACAGGCGCACTGGTTCCAGCTCACGGCAGGGCCAACCTCAGGTGACACAGGGACCCCCAATACAGGCGTGTACATAGTACTCCTTGCCAAAGGTGAAGTCCAAATTCTAAATCTTATGCTTCATTTGTAGCAAAGACTAAGGCTTAATCTTTGCTATGAATGAAGTCTTAGCCTGCCTTCCATGAGACTGGTAAATTTTATTCTATACCATTCCCTGCTATAGAAATCACTAAAAGCAGGTTTCACATACTCCACTTTATAGGAAAATAATAGGCTGTAGAATATCACATCATCATTCACCCACTTCATCATCTCTGGGAGCACTGAGGGTTGCAAAGAAGTGATCCCTGCCCACAGGCTAAGCCAAGAGCAGCCAGCAAGCTGCTCCATCCCCAGCAGCTGAAGATCCAGGGCAAACTCGATGCCCAGATCTTAGTAACCGTCGCCTACTCTATGTAATTAGAAGTCACATGGCCATGAATGGGCCTCTAATTTTTTTTCACCATTTTCAGTGATGAAATGAAAGCTATTAGTGGCTCTGCAATCTGCCTCACCATCCCAGAAAAGACGTGAGCCAGCAGTTATGCCTGGAGCCAAGCCCACTGGGGTCTGAGTCTTTGCTCTAACCCTGCAGGGTAGCAACCCATCTCTACCATGAAGCAGAAAGCAGGAACCAGCCTCTGTCACAGCCCTTCTCCCCTCCGCCTGCTTTGCAGCTCCTGGGAGCTCCGTGGTGAGACTCGTAACAGGGTCCTCTCTCCCTCACAAGCACTCATGCAGAGCCCAGCATATAGTACACGTTCAGCAAGTGCCTGTTGTCCAGAAGTATATTTAATCAACTGACTGGAGTGGCTTTATAGTTTCATTTGAGGTGTAGGTAATTCAGAGCTGTCCATTCCGTCATCCATTTGTTCATCTATCTGTTGAGCATCTATTGCATGCCAGGTACCGTGCAGACACTAGGGATAGAGCAGAGAGTAAGATGGACAAAGTTCCTGCCCTCACAGAGATGACAGTCCAGTGACACAGGAAAAAAAATTAGCAAAAATCACACAGATATTAATTCACAGGCTGGAGAGATCACTGAGGGAGAAAGAATGGGTGAGGAGCAAAGGATACCGAGTACTGAGCCTTGAGGAGCTCTAACATCTAAAGGTTGAATAAAGGAGACTCAAAAAAGAGCATCCAAGAAGGCAAGCAAAGAACCAGAGAAGTAAGGCCTGATGGGAACCAAGAAAGGAGAGTTTCAGTGGGAGGGGTGGTAAGCCACACCAAACAAGGGTTTGAGGATTTTGTATCACGGAGGTTATGAGTGATCTTAATAAGGACCATTTCAATGGCAGGATGGGGACAAGAGCTGTGTTGGAGTTGGTTGAGGAGTGAATGGGAAATAGTGACTGCACACAACTCTTTCAAGAAATTTAACTGTGGAAGTGGGGAGAGGAGTAGGGTGGTAGCTGGAGGGAGATGTGAGGTTCAGGAAGACTTTTCTTGAAGTTAGGAAAACTCAGTCATTAGAGACATAGCTAATGAAGTGAGAAGTAATAACCGAGAGTGGCCAAGAGCCTCACTCATGAGTAGTGAAGCAAAGGGACCAGGAGGTTGTTAAGAGGCAGCAAGGAAAAGGAGGCAAAGGTGGGCTAATTCGATGACACAGACATCAAAGGAGGAAGGGTTTTACAAGACACAGGAGGAGCAAAGATCTGGGAGTGACAGTGGGGAATAGAGGGACCTCAGGCCTGTCCCTCAGCCCTAGAGTCTATGGGGTGGGGAGAATAAGCAGCCACTGAGTAGGAGGAGAGTTTTGCAGAATCAAAGCAGGTGAGTTTCAGAGTTCAGAAGTGTCCAAGAGAAGGTGAGGGTGGAGGGTGAGTTTGGAATTAAGAACTCACAGAGCAGATGTTAGATGCTAACAGCACAGGAATGACTAGAGGGCCATACTAAGGAATTCTTTTTTAAACACCATAACAAAATAGCCAAATAGAAATGATCTCTGTGTTGTCCGGACCATTCTACCTCATTACAAGAATGCAAACAACCAAGACCTGACTCCATGCCCTGTACCTGTGTTTGTTTGGACACCTGCACAGTCCCAGAAATAAAGAGAACATTTGCAGAACAATAAGGTGAATCATTACAGTTGATTTTACCCTCGAATCAATAATTTTTCAAGCAGTTCTTGAACTCTTGCTCTATGCAGTTCGTGCACTACAGGAACACAGAGTTAAATAAGACATGGCTCCATCCTCAAAGAGCTCATTGTCTCGTAGAGAAAGAAGAGAAGCATGCCTGAAATGCTAGAACTCAAGACTGACTGTGAAGGCTGTGGGAGCCCAAAGAAGGGACAGATAGATGTGGTGTGATGTGATTAAGGAAGACTTCCCTGGAGGAAGTGGAGCTTAAGAGAGATGGATTACTCAAGGATTATTGGGATTGACTGATTCATTATACAGTTTTTAAAGATTACTTTCCATTTACAGTTAATACAAAATATTAGCTCTGTTACCTGTGTTGTATAATACATCCTTGAGCCTATCTTACACCCAGTAGTTAGTACCTCCCACTCTCCCATCCCTATACTGTCCCTCCCTCCCTAACTGGTAAGCAACCATTAGTTTGTTCTCTATATCTGTGAGTCTGCTTCTTTTTTTTTATATTTGCTAGTTTGTTATATTTTTTAGATTCAACATATAAGTGATATCATACAGTATTTGTCTTTTTGTGTCTGACTTATTTCACTTAGCAGAACAGCCTCCAAGTCCATCCATGTTGCTGCAAATGGCATTCATTTTCATGGCTGAGTACTATACCATTTACATATATACTACATCATCTTTATCAGTTCATCTGATGGACACTTAGGTTGTTTCCATATCTTGGCGATTATAAATAATGCTGGTATGAACATTGGGGTGCATGTATCTTTTCGAATTAGTGTTTTTGTTTTTTGTGGTTTTTTTGGATATATACCCAGGAGTGGAATTTCTGGGTTATATGGTAATTCTGTTTTTAGTTTTTTGATAAACCTCCATATTGTTTTCCATAGTGGCTTCACCAATTTACATTCCCACCAACAGTGTAGGAGGGTTCCCTTTTCTCCATATCCTTGCCCACATTTGTTACTTGTGTTCTTTTCGGTGACAAGGGCTATTGGAATTTAGATGGCCAAGAGAAGGAGCAGAAAGGCATTGCAAGTAGAGAGAAGAGCATGGACAAGGACAAAGTGCCTGGTGACCTCATGGGGCCAGGAGAGGCGATGAGGACTTGAATTGAAGCAATGAGGTAGAATCAACTAAGAATGAGATTTGGGGAGAGGTAAGGACAGAACTCAGCTTCTGCTTGGATGTGGAGTGTGAGGGAGGCAAAAGAGACAGACTGTAAAAACCCATCTATGAAGAACACAGCCTTTCCAGATGCCTGTTTATTATGTTGGTAGAAAGGCCTGATGTACCATGTCTTGTTTCCTCAGAACAAGTACCAGGGTTTTGTCTTTGACATCGTGACCAGGCAGACTTTTGACATCATCGTCATGGTCCTTATCTGCCTCAACATGATCACCATGATGGTGGAGACTGATGAGCAGAGTGAAGAAAAGACAAAAGTCCTGAACAAAATCAACCAGTTCTTTGTGGCCGTCTTCACGGGCGAGTGTGTCATGAAGATATTCGCCTTGAGGCATTATTACTTCACCAATGGCTGGAATGTGTTTGACTTCATCGTTGTCATCCTCTCCATTATGAGTAAGTGGGCATCACATGTGGTGGGGATGCCCAGCCTCTGCTTGGGGTTGTTTTGGCTGCTCTTTCAAATCCAAGGGGACAACTAACAAAGTTTTACAAAAACGCATGTTGTATGTTAGAGGAGCCCAGTATTTGCTCCTTCGCAAGAGCAGCAGATTTAAAATGCCCCCAGGCCTCTCAGTGAAATGGAGAAGTTCCACTGACCTTCTCCACGCTGCCATGAAGTGTATTCAGGCACCTATTGTGTGCACCGCCATCGCCAGAACTTTGGGGCCTGAAAAGAAACAATCACTCACCAAAGAACCTAAGATGATGGAGTTTCCAGTGGGTCTTATCTTTATGTCCTTCAAAGCAGAGAGTGGGTGGTGTGGTGTGAGGTGAGTCATAAAATGCTTTCTGGAAAAGGAGGTGGTTGCCAGAAGAGTGAGGAAAGACTGGGAGGACATTGTTCAAAGGAGATTCTTGAGTCAAGGGTCTGGAATTAAATCTCTGTGTAACTGTCCACTTAGGGAATATGAGTGACAGAAAAGTCAAGGGACCAGTGCCAAGAGATCAATGCTATTATGACCTAGTCTGGGTGTGGTTGAATGACAGGTCCAGTATTTGGGGGCCAGTGGTGTTCAGAGAAAATGAATGGAGTCAGAGACTAAAGTTGGGGATGGAGCCACCGTAATTGAATGCTAGCTGAGTTCTGAGGACTGGCCTGGGATCCGTGGACCTTCACAGAAACCCTGTGAAGGAATATTACTATACTCATTTTAAACATTTAATACTGAGCCTCAGAGATTAAGAAAGTTATCCCAAGTCATATAGTTTGGAGCTGAATTTAGACCTGGCTAATAATGTTCTTTTTAATAAACTAACAGCCTCCCACCAACAACCAGGAGACTGTTCCTGGCCTTCATGTGGCTTAGCCAAAGTTTGGCCCTATAAAGGCCAAATCCCAGCACACCAGCTTTACTTTGCATCATAAATATATCCTGTCCTGTTGTATCACGACCTGCTTACTTTTCCTGTCAGGGCATAGCTGTGGATTTCATTTTCCGTTGATTTACCATCAAGAGCTAATAGCATCTAATGCAGCGTGGCAGCACTTAATCTCCCTGTCCTGGGGCTGAAACACAGCCCTGGGGGACGTGTTTGTTTGGGGGGAGGTGCTTAAATTTGGTTTTGTTTTTTTGTTTTGTTTTATTTTCCTACTGCTGCTGTGGGGTTTTTGTGGGTGTTTTTTTTTTTTTGTAGGAAGTTTGTTTTGATTGTTTGTTTGCCTTCCAAAGTGAGAGACTCTAAAGGCCATTTTTGGTTTTATATTAGAAAAGGGAGCTTGCTTAAGTGACTTCCCATGTCAATACTATAGACATGAAATATTTCTTAAAGTACTCCATTCTATCATGGGGACACCTTAACTACCAGTTCCTATGACCTACACAGCAAAACCCTTCATGGGCAGAAATCACTCACAGAGACAGCTTGAAAACAATTGCAAAAACCCACCAACCATGCTCCTGCCCTCCCTCCCTCTCCCCTTTTCTTCCTTGCCACCAATAAGATATGTACTGAGTAAACATTACAAGTATGAAGACTCTGGACTTTAAGAGAGGGGCTTTCGTAAAGATTTCATAATACAAAATTATAATTATTTCCCAATTCTCCTCCCATTTCCTCCCTCCTTCCAACGTAATACTGTGACCACCCACGTTCACACAACAAAGACAAGTAGGGAAAGAGGGTCAAGGGAGCCCTGCAAGGAGAGAGAGCCACCCTACCCTTCTTGCTACCATACCGTTCACCATTTGTCCAGAGAGGTTCTGAATCCTGTGTGATCTAAAGGTCCTGCCTAATCTTTGGTGGTCTTAACAGGGCTCCGCAGGCCCCCAAGACCAAGCTTCACAAACCTTCAAGTTAGATATCATATAGGAAGGCGTATACATTCTCCATCTCTCCAACCTTATTCATAGTTCGGGTAGTGGGGGTTCTGTAACTGACCCTAAACAAGCCGATCTCCAGGCCCTAACACAGAGTTCAAACACAGCTGGAAATGAAAGAAACAAATAAAAGCCATTATGTAGACAGCTGGCCATTAAAGCCATTCTGCTTCAGTTGTCAGCAAGTTGCCCAACTCCTCGGGCCCCTTATAATTAATACTAGGCTCTGTACAATTATCTACAGGACCATATGCCAGGAACTAAGTCAGTCTTCACAGTAGGAGATAGGGAGATGAATCACAGGGGGTCCCGGCCTTCACAAGCACAGGACTGGGGTGGAAGAGAAGGCACGACCTAAAGGCTGAATTCTTAGGGAAGAGCAGGGTCTGTGTCACAGGCAGAAACAAAGTTCTATGTGCATGTGGACTAGGGTGTAGTCACTTCCAGCCGAACTAGGCTGCAGAAGGTAGGGTTCTGATCATGGAGGTGGACTAAGAAGATATCTGGAAGGGGGGAAAGATAAGAAAATGGTAGGAAGGGTGAGCCTTGAGGGAGAGAGGGTTTATGCCGTCGACACTTACTAAACCCCTACTTTATGCCAACCCCCGTGCCAGGCTCAGAGGACCCAGAGTCCTTGAATACAGATTCTCAGATGGAGGTCGATACAGAGTGGGGGGCGGGTGATGACAGCCTACTTTGTCAGATGGTTGGAAGTACTAATTAGATCATTTCCCCTCACTTTTTAAAGGCCTGGTGTTTTCTGCAATTCTTACATCGCTTGGAAATTTA